GAGTTGCACTGAATGGGCCAACTTTTCAATGGTGTCTACGCAGCACCTGCCTCTTGTAGCAGAAGGGACATCCTAGTGGCATGATCTGTCTTGGCTTGGCCCACTGTCGCACTATAAGGGGATGAAAGAAAACAAGGCAAGAGCAAGGGGGAGACCTAGTTGGGCACCATCCATATTTATCGATTTCCATGGCATAATGCGTTGTACAGTCAGTTTAACTTAATTGGATGTGACATAGCGTGCATGTGTGATCTATCATTGAAGTCTCCTGGTAGTCTTTATCACATGGGGTTGCTATAGAAACATGTTGGCGCCGTAATAGCCTACATTAACAGGGGCTAAGTAAGTTGCAGCAAAAAAAAAAAAAAAAAAGATCCGCCGCTGTGCTGAGCTAACGGACTATAAAACCCTGATGAACTATAATGGGGAAAGTGGCAGTGCTTTCATTTCTGCGCCGAACAAGTCCAAATAAAAAAGTAACAGTTTCCCAAAGACATCTGTCAACCTCTGGGGCATGATTATGTGTCACAATAAAAAATTGCTTTTCCAAAACACTGACAGCTTTTTCATAATGATGGTGGAGGAACAGAATGAAGCGTCTGATCTGTTTAGACAGCTAAATACTGGCAAGACTCTGCAGCAGTGGTAAATGCTATTGTTACGCTGACAGTTTTGTTCAATAAATGTAAGATTTGGATTTTATGATCTGTGTGATGTTAGCAGTAGTGTAATGGCAAATTGCAGAAGAATGAAATAAGACGAAAAATGATCTTGATTTTTCTTGTGCATTGTTCAGCTTTTCTGGCGGAATGACCGTCACCTGCTTGTCTCCATGGTATGACATTAAACACATCTGTCTAGCATTTATTCATTATTGTTTCTATTGCTCAAAAAATACAATCATTCTCTCTGTGAATAGTGTTGCCTCTCCATAAATCTGACCTGTATTGTAGCCTATAGTTGTCTCCCTTAAGACAGATAGGTTTAATCTCTGTGGAATCTCTGGCAAAGCAATAACATCTCCATGAAAACAAGGAGGAGACAGATCCTCCACCAGAAAAGTTGCGCAGTGCACCTTTAAATAAAATATTACATTATTTATCAGCAATATCCTCCAGCCACATTCACTGCTTTCCTGTGCTAGACTGATGGAAGTAAGGCTGCCAGTCTGCGCCATCAGCCCCTCTGACCTAGGCAAGGTGGCTGAAGTGTCTTGCCTAAGGACACAACGACAAATGAGATCAGACAGTGTCAACGGAGTGACAATGGCCACAAATCTGCACCAGTAAGCCATTTTGACTACCAAATTTATAAAGGCAAGATGAGAGAAATGTCCAACCACCAACCATAATGAATTGGCAAGCTATTCCACCATATTTTGCATATATATTTTTGCTTTATAGGTGATAAATTACAATTGCAATTTGCCATTTGCACTTGAACAGATGCTCACTTGTCTCGTGGTTTGGATACATACTGGTAAGTTGTTATGTCTAAATTTAACAAAAGAGGGGCATGAGAGCAATGGCTGAATCACTGTCACCACGGCAACATCATCTCTCCGACATCCAAACATGGAAACTGTGTGTGTTTCAAGTGCAGAGAAACAGAGAGGAACAGACAATATAAAAGCAATGACAGTGATTTTGATTAATGCCTCACATCTGTTCCAGTAATTGACAAAAACACCAGTCAAATGTTCTGATAACCTCTTCACTGGGTTACACAGGGCATCATAATATTTATTCTGCCCCTCTATGAATACACTTTTACTTGCTGGGAGGCAGTGGAACGTATTTAGTCTGGCAGGTCAAAAGTTCTCCAAACAAGCATTAGCATCGGTCAGGAAAGTCAAAGTGCAGCTAGCCAACATGGCAGACAGCAAACCCCCCTACCCGCCCCCCCCAAAAAACAAAGTTCACCATTCATCTGAGAGGTCACCGGTTTGGTTCTCTGAGCTCAATTCATTTCCAGAAGGTCAAGAATTCCCGAAACATTAGCATCCATTTGACCCCAGGCCTAAATCTCACTTGTAAACAAAGATTGGATAGGACTTCTAAGATTACTTTCCCAACTTAACTCAAATTTTTGCTTCTTCTGTAAGATGAAGTCCAGACCAGAGAAAGCAGCGTGGTCAGATGGTCAGTGTCAGCCAGGGCTTTTGTTATTGCTGCATTGTACTTGTGCATTGAATGGGAAAATAACAAAGGAATCAAATAAATCATTCAAATACAGAATCCCCCCAGCTTCCACATCTGACTCTGCACAATGCCCGTGACTGACCACAAAGGGGGAGGGGCCGGGCAATTAGGTCAGCTCATGATTGTATTGCTCAAATGACACATTAATGTCATAGTGGCCAATATATATTTCATCATCAAGGTGACAGCACTGAGGGCATTGCAAGTATTGATTCAGTTCTTATAACAATGCTATTGCAGAGTGGACATTTGAGTTTCAGTTGTTTTGATGGTTCTTATAAGTAATGGTTTATTAGATCAGTGGGCAAAAAATATTTTATTTTTGCACATCATAGTGACTATTGCCATGTTTACTGAGTTTAGACATTGTTAATTAGCAAAATGTGCTGGTAATTTTGGATAAGATCCTTTGAAGGTGTAACTATGTCGCTTTTCTTATGGCCACCTGCTTGTCTCCAAGATCGAAACTTGTAATGCCCTGTTGTGGAACATTTGAGGCAAAGCAATAACTTCTCCATGGCAAGCAAGTGGACATTTCACCAGAATAGTTACATAGTATACAGTAACTTTAAAGTACTACTCAAGCCCCTATGTTGATTGTATATAGACAGGCTGACACCACCTAGTGTCTTCGCTCAATTTAATTTCTATCAGGGTCAGGAATTGGAATACACTAAATGGTTTGCAAGAACCCTGGAAACTGTAGAGTGTGCACCAGCCAATCAGCAAAGAGCTGTGAAGCCATGATATCAAACTCAAGTGCATTTCTGGGTCCCTTAAGTCGTACAGCACAACAGTAAACAAAACGGTCAAGATGGATGTAGACGAAGCCATACATTCTGTGTTGGCAATGATTCCCAAGATCAAGGGTTTAAAGCCAGAACAAAGAGAATGTTTGGTGAATTTTATCAAGGGGAAAGACGTTAATGTCCTTCTTACTGCGGGATTACTTACATCACAGCAGCTATTGGTTAAATAAAAAAAGTACCCACCTACTATCGAGTGAACTAATCCTAATGCTGTGAGGTCAGACGGTTTCCGCGCAGTGAAACCAGCTAAAGGATCATGCTAAATTGTATAGGCTGTATATTTAATTATTGCAAATGTTGCTTTCTTTTCATTGCATTTATGCGTGTACACTGTTGTGTTCAAAGTTGGCAAACAATAGTTCAAACTTGAGTGGCTGTTTTTGTTTGTGGAAGATTGTACTTTGAAACGCAAATATTTTCTTAGACTGTATTTGACATGATATATTTGAGAATCACTGCTCTATAATGAACCAAGAACTATTTCCATTCATCCATTCTAATTAAGCCAATTATGGCCTGGTATCGAGCCAGTGTTATCTTTGCAAATGAGTGTGTACATTGGGCTTGTTTGGAAAAATCTCTGTAACCTTTTTATTGCCGTGGTCCCATAACTCCAACCCCGGCTGTGAGATATTTGTACACAGTGACCGCAGTACTGAGGGGTTATGGAATAACAAGGAGCTCCATGCATTATTAATGGGCTCTGCTGTGAATCTGTTCAGAATAATAACAGCCATTTCCCCCGGCCTCATTACTGTGTGTTTTTAAAGCATGTGTTTGGTATCCATGGACACCTCGCTCGCACATTCTATTCCTCTTTTCAAACGTATTAAGATTCAGGTCAGGCGCGCCACTTGCTGTTTTTAATTTTCATTTTATCATAAGCACTTCAAGCCCGTTGCCAGTGCTTATTTGCAGTTTTGCAGCGGACCTCTTCACTCTGGCTTCTGACAGGACAGATGCCGGCATTACTCACAGCACTGAAATAGGCATCTTCCACAAACACACACAAGCTAATCTGCGACGGGCCTTGATCCAAATTACAAATGCCTCGCTAAAATGGACTAATTGAAAACAAAGTGAAATTTGAAAATATGATTTAAGTGGTATCACAGATGAGAAACAGCAGGTTTTCTTCTCAGCTAATTTGGAACAGACATTAACTCGTGCTTAAATGTGTTGGCTGCTTCAGAAAGAGCTTTTTTCTGGCCAGTCTTTTGTGCAGATATGATAATTATTGTTTGCCTGCATCCCTCCCCCCACCACCAGCCATATTATTCAGGGGAGCTCAACAAACCCCTGGGGATGTCTTGGAAATGAAGTGATTTGGAAGATAGTAAAAAGGAGGCAGAATCCAGTGCACCCATGTGTGAGACTGTTATTGAGACAAGTGCCGGTTACATTCCAACTTTATCCAATATTAACATTGTTTTACTCAAAATCATAGTCCAATCAGATACCCAGGGAACAAAAATATTCAAGAGTTTTCACGACAGTGGACGGATTCACACTGTTCGGCCATAACATTATGACTAACTACTGAAGCAGGGCATGTGTGATTAAATGGATAATTTATAATATTAGTATTTAAAGGACTCAAATAATACAAAATTGCTTATTAATTGTATTCTGTACATGGTTTGTTAGTTACATTCACCAGTGTTATCCACTGCTAATCTTTTTGACAGCCAGCCCACTGCTCCTCCCAATTTCTACTGAACAAAATGGCCACTTTGCCAAATATCTCATGTATCAATGCATTGTGCATTTTGACAAGCTCCCATCAAAAGCAGTGGTTTAGGCTACAACAGCCTCACTAGCTGTTGTATACTCATGTAATGTTATGTTTAAACTTTTATTTTTACTAAGACTGAAGAGAAAGTAAATGGAACAGAAAACACCGTACAATAAATAGCTGTGATTGATAGTTTAATTTTGAACAGAGACACAAAGAAATATATAATACTTCATACAAAATTATGGCTACTATCATATTAGTGATGGAATGTCTCTGGATAAGTCTTCATGGCTGAGCACAAATCATTAAACATTAAATTACTGATCCTATTGTGAGCTGAAAAAAAGAACATGTCCAAGTTCATAACAATATCCTTTTATTCTATGCACAGTTTTCCAAAGCAGTAGGTCTGTAAGCAAATTACAAACAAAATGACTTGCTTCTATTGTAACTCATAAAAAAGTATAAAAGAGCAGAAATGCACTATGTGATATAGCAATCCACAGGTCGTTAACAATGTTTTCATTAAAGCGTCACATATTCAAACTTTACATCAGGTGATATGAAAAATGTACAACTTCATTTAAGGGACTTTTGTACAGCTGGCAAAAATACCTCCAATGCCCCGTGAATGGGCTTTGGCAGTGCAGCAAACTGGCTCTGCTAATTTCTTTTAAAACAACTGTGGTATCAAGGAGCAGTAAAAATACATCCACCACTAAGGTACTTGCCTTGATCCTGAATTTTGTATTTAGCACAAAATATCCCCTTTGTTACACAAAATAAAACATAATTTAATTAAACATCTCAAGAAGAAAGGTTTGGGTTGCCAGTTCTCCACTGCAGGTGAATCCTCTCTGGGTACAGTGGACTCTCCACATACAACATGTACAGCAGATTACAGCTACATTTGAGGATGTGATGACATCAATGATTCATGGAGCTTCTGTGTCAGTCCTTTCAGTTTCTCAAAGCTTTTTCCCTTCTGTTCCTCTTTTGTGTCCTGCCAGGGCCACATTGTGACATGATTGAAACGTGCTCAAATACCACGGCCTTATAAACCCTGATAGTTTGAACACATTGTTTCATGCTTTTGATGACAAAATGTGTGAATGTAATGAATAAAAGTGACAGATTGGAGAAGTGAAAGTCTTGGTATACACTGGCCAGTGTTTGGCCACAGAGCGACGAGTGATTTACTGGTTTCCAGCAAGTCATTCAGTCCACAGCCGAGCTGTTAAAATCCTTTTGTGGCATTCAAAATGTCCGCCAGCCTGCTTGACTGTCAACTCCGGCCTCATAAATAAAGCTTTATTGTTAAATAAAACAGTGAAAGACACACGTCTTTCAACATATTGAGTGCCCAGTCAGTTTGGAGTCCACTAACTCAAAGACCTCACAAACAACTGCCAGGCAATGCCCTGACAGACTGGAGTCATAGTTCAGCCTATTTTATAGACAAACCAGCTAGTTACCCCCTGTACACGAGTGCATTTCCACGCAGAACATAGTCTGTATATAGACATGTTTCTCTCAACAACTGGAGCATGTGTCAGAGAGCCTTATGACATGAACAGAAACTAAAATGGACTCTACACTCCATTATAATTTTGTGATATGGCTTTTTGTGTAGACTTTATGTAACAAATGTGTCTTTGAGACAGCTTTATAAACATAATTTGGATACCTTGAGACATCCCATCCAAAAAGTGGATGGTTGGCTCCAGCTATATACAGTCTATAGTCCTGAACAATAAACAGGTTCTTTGTATAACATTCTGAATCTTTTACACACTTCTTAAGTGCAACGTGAAAAAGCAACATGGAATGATGCTTTTATTCTCTTTGCGGTCCAGCGGTTCCTTTGGGCTCAGTAGATGCTGACCTGGGACAGGACCTGGGCATGGGCTTGGATTTGGGAGGGGTGCGCTTGTTGTTGTTGTGCAGGTTGAGGGCTGCCTATGGGGGCGGAGTGTGGGGTGCTGGGGGAGTGATGCGGAGGCGAGTGGGGAGTACACTGTGCCTGATGCTGCAGGTGCTGGAGCTGCTGTTGATGGTGGAAGTGGTTTGCGTGATGCAGGCTCTGCTGGTGATGCAGGTGCTGCTGCTGCTGTAGCTGCTGCTGGAGGTGGTGCTGGAAGTGCTGCTGCTGCATCTGCTGCTGGATCTGCTGCTGGTGCATCTGCTGTGGATGCATCTGCATGGGTGGGCTCATCTGGGACACGGCCGACGACTGTCCCCCAACCATACCCCCTCCTGCCCCCATCTGCCCCAGCATCTGGGGAGGCATCCCAGGACTCATGTTCTGGTGGGACACTGTGACAGAGGTGACAATCTGACTGCCCCCTAGTCTCATCTGCAGGGGCTTGGGGGCGATAGCCCGAGGGATGGCCTGCTGAAGAGCCTGGGAGGCAGAGGGCATGGAGGGGTGCTGGTTCAGTGGAGAAGGAAGTACCATTCCTGGGGACAGGCTGGTGGAGGCCAGAGTCTGTTGCACCGTGCGGATGGTCTGTGCCTCTGCTGACTCTGCTGCAGCCTGTGTCAAAACAACACTTCTTTATGTACACGTTCTTCCGATTACATTAACACTTGTTACAGAGAGTACAAATCTCTTTCACACCTTCTCACACAATAGTGCAGCACTGAGGATTTGAAGTAATGAAACCAACTTTTGTGTCAAATTAACACATTTTTCATGTGAAAAGAAGATGAAAATATTTCTCACCTTGGAAACAAGGCTGGCTCGGTATGCTGCAAGGGCCTTTAAATATTCCTTCTTGGCTGCTTCGGTTTTGCTTTTGTAAACCTGGAGTCGTCAAAGATATTCATGTTAACACATTTATTGCACATACTTTGACATTTTATAGTAGAAAGTATAGGAGTTTTATAGTATAAATGTTTTAAAGTGTTTCAACACATAGAATGGTTTGAAACGTACCTGCTTCTGCTCCTCTCCAAGGCCATCCCACATGGAAGCAACAATCTTGGACACCTCTCCAAAAGTTGCATTGGGGTTCTGGCCTTTGATGGCCGCCTGAGTGTCTCTGAAGAAAAGAGCATACGCTGACACAGGCTTCTGAGGTTCGTTAGGATCCTTCTTTTTCTTCTTTTTGGGAGTCTTGGGCTTTTTTGAGGGATCTACTGGCGCTGGTCGCTTCTCTCCAATCATCTGCAAAAAATGTACACAGTTATAGACAATATAATCCAAAAGACATAGATAATTTTCTTTCCACTTTTCTCTTACCCTGGTGGTGTCATCTTGATCATCCTCATTGATAGAACTGGAGGGAGAGGGCGTGGCAGACTTGCTGGCAGGTGGTGAGGGGGATGTGTGGGTGATGTTGTGTCCTCCCATATTTAGGCTCAGCTGTCCATTAATCTGCGACTGGTTAATGGTGGAAAGCTGATTCCTCTGCATCATACCATTGGGACTGTGCATGTTGATTATAGACTTCATCACCATGGCTGGGTTAGGTTGGTACTGCCGCATATGGCCTGGTCCAACATTCTGTAGGGAGATAGAGATAAGATTGTTAGTAATAGAGTACCAGTGCTATGAAATCAGCGTGATGCTGTATGTTATAACTGCCTGCTGTTATGTATTAACACTGGCAGAGAGGTCTTGTAGTCTTGAATGGTCTCTGCGCTCTCAATGACACCCTGCTGTAAGAAGCGGTATCTTTTTACCACAGTGAAAATGGGGTCATTGGAGGCTGTGGATTGTTATGTGGCAGATCACATGTCATCTTGTCCCTGGCCCTTACTGGCTCTATTACAGAACATGATAAATTATCTCCACAAGTGAGGAACAGTGTTTTATAAGCACGCATTAGCCTGGCCATTTATAGACTTTACATTATGGAAATGTGAGGTACTGTTTTTGAAATCAAAATGCAAGTGAAGATGCTATACAATCAAACAGCAATGGATATAAAATACAGGTTGGGTATGAATTCAGTATATGAGTCCTATACCAATAACTATGCATGGCAGAAGTTCTGTTTTGTAGCATTCTCATCCAATGAGAAACAATTAATTAATGAAGTTATATTTGAGAGTAGCAACCATCAGCACTGAATATCAAGGTGTGCAAATGCTCGGGTATAAGGCACAGATTTGCTTATATGACCCAACAAAAGCATATGCTACATCAAGTAAGGCTATTGGTCAAATGTGGACATTAGATTCTGACTCTGTGACACTGTCCATGATCAGAAATTTTTGGTATTTGACTGTTCAAAACACAGTTGAGCTTGACAACAAGGGTCAATGTGAGTTTTCTGTAACAGATTGCCTTATATAAGTCAAATAATCATGTAATAACAGCCTATTTGAGTAAAACATCTACTCCTTGGAAAATCAGACAGTGTGCTTGCATTGATTGTGCCTATTGGATGAACAATAGATTTGCCAGCTTCCCAGAGAGAAGACTGATCAGAGAGCAGATCCGACATGGACCAGGGCTGTGCGGGGGGAACGCCACAGAAAAAGGTGATTTGTTCTCCCCAGGTACACCCATCTGGCATTCAGACAGAGGCAGCGACGCAATCTCCTCCACCATCAACAACACATCATAAAACCCACACACCTGGCTTTATTGAAAGAACCTTATGAATGCCTATCTTCCGAAACTATATTGTAACACCTTTTCAACAACACAAACATATTAGATCTACAATGCAATTCTCTCTCATACACCTTATCATAAACGCAATCTACCAAGTGAGCAGAAGTGATTTATATTTACACATGCAACATAATGTTATCAAAATATCAAAGAGTTTTCTCATAACAGTAAAAAAAATGTCTGATTTCCATATGTGCAACCCGCAATCTTCCAAGTGTTATTGCCGTTTTTATTACCAGGAACAAAAATGTGTCTAGCTATTTTGGCTTTGGACTGGCTGCGAACATCAAAGACATGCACACTGAGCTCATTAGCACTGGCCATCTGTATAATAACGCTTTTGTTCAATTCCAATGATGGCATTTGACTTGGAGCAATGGCCCATCGTATCATTTGTTTTGGAATATGGTGATTTCCTCCTAAATGGGCCTCTTGGATGGTGCCATTGATGACTGGAGTTAAAAACCAGAGATATAATCATATAAATGAACGTTAGATGTCTTCATTCACCGCGCGTCATTGATTTGCAGGTGGGATAAAAAATGGACGCTAATTTAAATGAATAGGACATTTGCATTTAATGGACGTGTGAAGTTAACCAATGGAAAGATCCGAAAAGGTAAATTGTGCTAAAAGAAAAACAGTTGATTGTGAGCATGGAAGTGTTTACGAATGTCTCGCCTCCAACTCATTTGCATTTTGATTGCTGTATTGTCAGCGGTCCTGGCACAAATCTCACTAGAAATTTTGATAGTCATCATAAATCTGGAAACAAGTCTTTATCTCAAGTGTGCAGTGGCCAGATGTGTCTTCTCCCTCAACCAGGTACAACTATAATCATTTGTGTAGACTTAAAAGACCTGTACCATATTTTTCCCATGTTATCTTGAGCAAAATTTGTCTTGCCCTAGCACAGATATATTGTATAAGCAGATCTCGAGGTCAAAGTAAGTCTGCTGTATTCTCTCTGCATTAGGGCTGGGCATCTGTATAGTGGTGTAATTGTAGTGTGGTCCACCAAAAAATTTACAAAAAAATACAATATATCAATACAGAAGCCCAAGTTAAAGAAACTGTCTCACCAAAATTAGTATCACAACGATATATAGATATTTTGACATTTTTGTACACTCCTAGTCTGCATGTAATTATAAAGCATCAGGTAATCAGGAAGTGCGTGTTAGCATGCTAGTCGTTTTTAGCTTTATTCTCATGTCAAAACACCTCTTTGGATCCTGCGAGCACTTATAAACTAATCACGGTGAATAATTAGGATGCTCAGTATGCGAGGAAGGGATGTCAGGGATAACTTTGGACCTCTGCAAATTGTTTCAAATGAACCAGCTCTGTTTTCCACGTTTTTAAGCCAGTGAACATCAGGTAGCTCCTTTAAAAATAGCATGTTTTGTATGTTACCGCTGGCGTACTTATCAATGCAACCACTTCATAGTAGTAGTTTCTGGTAGCGATAATGTGCGAAAAAAATCCCTCCTCTAAAAACACATAACAGCTGGGTGTAAAACATATTATGCATTCACTGAATGTGCCGATAAACATCTCAACACCAATGTCAATGAAAACAGGCCTTGGTTCAGCGTGTTTTTAAAGATATTGGAAATCAGAATTTAAGGAGAATTTATATGAACGCTGCTGCTCTGTGTACTAAGCTGTAACAGGCTGAAAAGAATGTTAACAAGTTCAATTTCCATTCAATCAATGCCAGAGCTCTTGGAAATGTTCCATGGCAGGAGAGGGGTAAAATCGGTAATTATTAGGATGAATCCCCCAGTAACTTTCGCCAGCATGAAAGGTCATTCCTATTAAAGATAGTTTATCAGCGCCCTGCACATATTCCTTTACTTGCCGTCCAAAAGCGTACACCATTTTATTTTTTTCTTCTCTTCCATTTTCAGCAAGTCTGTGCTTAAGCCAAATGAGAAAAATGGAATTGTGAAAGCTATAATAGCACCAAGATAAATTGTTTTTCTTTCCTCTGCCCTGTCTAAGTCATACACACTCCTCCAACCTCTAACCCTGACTTCAAAACAAATCTGGTCACTACATTCTGTCCCCTTGGTCCCTGTGTAAAACCAATGACCCCTTCTACTATTCCTTGCAATGCATTATGGGTATTTAAAAGTGGTCTGACATGACATCATTCCATTGTGCAAGCTGCCTGAGAAAAGTAAATTACAGAATCAATCATGCAGAAGGTCAGACTGAGACTTCATTACAAGTATTGCATGCCTGCATGAATATCTTTCATTTCTGACTGGCCCAATATGTCACAATAGCTGCTTGTCCGGGGAAAGAATAAAAAAAGAACAGGAGAAAGGAGGGGAAAAAAATCCACTCTCTTAAATTGATGTACAACTCAAGTCAGTGCGTCGTGGCTTGGGAGGGAGATAAGAGGCAAGTGCAGAAAAACATGCTTTCTGCAAGAGCACCCACCTTTTCCATTTGACTGGGGAGAGCTTTTGACCAGCCAAACTTATGGTATTATATTTCCCACACATCAGCGCACTATCAAGGCATATCAAATCATGTGCACTACAAAACTACAAATGGATTTTCACCCACTGTTTAAGCTAGCAAAAGGCACAGTGTCGTATTACTGACATGTCTTCATAAGCAGGAAGATTGTGACAAGAAGAAGAGGTGAGAGAGTAGTGATAAAAGCCTAGTAAAAATACACAACTGTACTGTAACTGAAATGAGCAGAAACAGCTATTAAGATATTATTTGGCACAACATTTTTGTAAAAGTGCATTACGTAATTTTTATGTGGATGAGTACAAAACCTGCTTGTTTCCAAGGAGATTATATTTTTTGTCTAGAATGCTCCAGAATATAGCATTAAAGGTAATGCAACTGTTACTCTGTTGTAGTGGTTTAGTATTACTCATAAATACCTTGAATAACATGCTTTCTATGTTAACTGTGAGCAGTTAACAGAGAAGCAGACCAGACCTGTAATGTGCCCTTGTTTTGTCACCCGCTTAAGGTAATAGAAAAGTTATAGAGCGCCTTTAATTTCCGCTGGTGCACATGACTTTACAATGTTATTAGTTTATATGCACTGTGAACCACGGGAATCCGATTAAGGCGTACCGATAAATTAAACTGATCACTAAAGCTGTAAACTGTGTGTTGAAAACTATTAACTAACAACATGTACTAATAATAATATAAACTAATAATAAACCACTAAACTAACCAGTATTGAATAGCAGGACAGTTTTAGGGATGCAATCATATGATACTGCACCAGATATCTGCATTTTGATGGATCGAATATCCCAAGATCAAGTTCAGTCGATATCCCATTTTGGTCTATAAATTGGTGTAATTTGACAATTTACTGGCCAGTGTTCAACCCAAACACACACCAAATTGAACTAATATATTTTCAAAGCTTTTCTGTACTTCCTCCAAGAAACCACATTTGGATCATTATTTACCTTATGATATTTGTGTTTAAAGGAAATATATTTTCAGCCTCTGCCCTAGTATCAATTTATGTGATTAAAATTGAGTTAATATCAGGTTTTTGTAGATACTTAATGCCAATGTATCAGAACAGAAAAAGTTGGATCGGTGTGCCCCTAGTCCTGTTGATATTTATCATGGTGTACTGTACTGAGTCCTTCATCTTCATAGTCTGAATATCTTATATATTATATTCAATATATGGAATAGTAAATGTGAAAAAAATGGATAGTCACATCTAGCTCTCAAGGCACATGACATTACACATATATTTCCCATGTTATAGGTAGTTAGCGGTTTCAAGTCCAATTGTGAAATACACTGAGCCTATTCCAGCTCATGCTTACTGTCACAAAAAACCTCAAATGTAGCGAAGGCACCAGGTGTTTTTTGAAATAGAACCCCAGACCCTTGCTGTGCAGCCAGGAGAAAATCGAAAAGAAATTGTGAATAAAGCAATACTGGCAGCTCTAACTCCAGTACTATTTGGCACTATTGAGAGTCAATCACAAATCAGGAGGACACATGCTGCGAGACAAAAATGAGAGTCAGAAGCTTGTTAGGAGAGCAGATTAAATAAATAATGACTTCGGATTCAGGGCTTGCCAGGCACAGAGCAGCCGAAACAAAATGCATTTCTCTTTGTAGGGGCTGCTGCAGCATCTGTGGCCAATTTAGCCCGACATACGCCCAACATTACGAGAGGAATTAGCAGAACACTTGGCAACGCAATGACATGGAAGGAGGCTTTGAAAATAGCCCAGGTATACGCAACGGATGGATTTCTCATTTTGCTTGCGATAAGGGACAACACGCTAAATATTCTGCTGCAGTGAGCGTGAGTGCATACTGAGAAAAACAAGGAAAAGCGTTTGGAAAATATGAGCGCGGGGGCTTGATGAAAAATGTAATTGCAATAGTGCATGGTTTATTTGTTTGCCCCTGCAGCCATAACAAATAACCCAGAATGTAATCATGTATATAAGGTTGTCATTGCTTTATCAGTGCGCTGACAAAATGACAAAACACCCCTCTCAGCGCCCGCGTTAATCACTGTCACCGGGTATGGAAAGCAGCCACAACGGTGCTGTTACTTATCTCATTTAGAACTTGTATTCCCTATTCAGATATATCTCCAGATGAATAGAGTTTCCAATGGCTTTGTAGGTGCGACTTTTGGGGATCAGTCCCATTTGCGGTGGGAATGAAAGGGCAACGCTAGCTTTCATGTGCTACAATGTGCGATGGCCGATAACACTGAGGAGTGCAATGGCGACAATAGACAAGACAAGGCGGAGAAAGAAACTACATTGGGTTTTTAATAGAGTCCCCGCACAATCAGACACATGAGCCATGCAAATAGTGTTAAAGAGGAATAATGTTTGAGAATCAAATCTAATCCTCCAGCAAGTCGAGAGAACAGTCCGGAATGTAATTGTGCCGAGGTTCCGTTTCTTCCAGATGTAGAGAGCTTAACTGACCATGAAATGAAAATTCTTTAGGGCCATGCCTTCTGGGGCTCACTTACTGTACACTGCGGCGGAGATATTTTAAAAGCTGCAATTATTTTACATGCCAGAAGCAGGGAAGCATGGGGAAGAGCTGTAAAAGTTTATAACCCTTTACCATATGGAATGTAAATAAATATATAACATGGCTTCCAGGGAAAAGGGGCTAAAATGTGTTTCCTTTCAACACAGTTCTTAATGCAGTACCATTTGTGCTTTGAAGAATTCTCCATCAATACCACTCGCTCCCCTCGCTCAGGCTTGTGTGCTTTCATTTCTCTGCACCTAAATGAAGCCTTCTATGTTTGTAATAGGTCTATGAGACAACTAGTCAGCCAGTGACATTTCCATTTTTCCTCCTCAATGCTTCTACGATTGTGGCATTTGAAAATGGCTTTCCACACTCCGACAACAATCTCACAATCTACTGTAGCAACATGACCACAGTGAATACTACTTTCCTTTGTCTAGCCATCCGTAGAGTTTGACGGAGAATTAGAACAAAAGGGAAATAAAAAGGATTGGAGAGCGATTTTCAAAGATTCAAACATTATATTCAGAAAATGTGTATTACTGGTGTGGTATTTTGTCTAAGTCTGTGCATTTGATCAGATTTGAAACAGTTCTGTTCTAAAAAAAACATGAGAGCTGTTTTGCCCCACTAAACCTGGAGCAAAGCCAATTTTCTAATTAAGAGTGGCTTTTAAAACTTGAATCATAAAATGTAACAAATGCAAGATAATAAGGCTAATCTTTCTCTACACTTTAACTTTGACAGTATTTAAATAATTGTTTCAAATTATTACGAGTCCAATTAAAACCCAAATAATTGTCTGTAATTATGATTTATTGTATTCTTTTTTATTGTTTTTGCAAATCAAGTTGAATGTTTTTTTTTCTTGCACAGTTGAAACATGCAAGGTGATAAGGTAAGAGCAGTTTTATTGATTATCTTCATAGAAAAAAAAACAAAAGAATGATTTTGTGTGGTCTTTTTACAGATAGTGACACAGATGCACCAGCGCTCGCAGTCGAATCTGGAGAAGCATGAATAATGAATAGCTACATGTCAGTGTATGCTCCTGTCTTTTCCTCTATACAAGATGAATGCATTTTGTTACCTCTACACCATCTGCAAACCACACACATGAGATGGAGCCAGGTTGAAAAGCTCTTGAAAAATCCTCACAGTAAGTAACATAATCTGGTGACATTTACTCAATGTGATCATAGGCCTCGTGTGTTTTAAACAAGGCCAGATGCCGGACCAGATGTGTCCACACTTAAAAACAGCCAAGGTGACATTATAGTTCACTAAAAGCACCATTTAGGAGCTGATGAAAGGTGTCAGCAGTTTATAGTTTGAAACCACGGTTTTACTTTGCAAAAACAGCAGGTCCAGCAGGTACAACTATGACAAAGAGGAAGAGGCTATTATGTTCCTAAGAATCAGTCATGGCAGATGCGCCTCTCACTGATGTGGTCTTGTGGTGTCTGCATGGCAATAAAATCTACTCCAAAGTTGACACAAAAATGTAAGCATGAGTTAGCGCCGTGAAAATGCAGTTATCTCTGGCTTTCCAAACGCTAGTTTATTGGCTTCAGTACAGACTGAAAAGCAGTGGCCAAAAACTCTTCCTCCTTAGAGAACATGGAGTTGTCAGTTGCTGCTTTTATGTGCAGAAAGAAAACTATATAAAAGGACCAAATTACAAACACTATATTTATAATTTTGATCTTGATTTTGATTAATATATATAGTTGACACATACCGTATTTTGGGGGAATTCCTATGTTTTTTTTTTTTTGTGTTTTTTTTTAGATCAAAGCTGAAACAAAACAACTTCAAATATTTACAAGTGTTTGGTAGAAACTTGTAGTAAGTGTGTGTAGTGAGTAGTAAAATATATTTAAAGGTGCACTATGAAACTTTTCTGGTAGAGGGCTTTCAGGTCAAGTTACAGGTCACATCTGTGGAGAGGTGACCCCACTCTCAATAAGAGTGTAATCTTTTGCAATTTGCACACCTGTAATTGAATATGCAAGAACATTCCAGGTCAAGCAACAACATCTGGAGACAAGCAGGTGGTGTATCCCACACCAGAAAGTTCCCTAGTGCACCTCTGAAGAGTGACTGGATGAAAAATAGACTTCATAATTGCAGCAAAAGTAAGGCAGAATACTCTTGTGTGCAGGTCTGTCACAATAAAAGAAACATTTAAAGCCCAGTGAAATCTACTATTATTTGTCAGTTAACCACAGAAGTTACTTATTCAAACCTTTACAGCTCAAATGTAATTGTATTACAGTAAAATACCCCAAATCTCCCCACTTTTACAAAAAAAAAAACTGTACACATGATCAATATTGAGCAATAAAATATATTGTTCCAGTCTTAACGTGACAGGTGTACTTGCACGTATTGTTTTCTGTTCATTTAACTTACCACAGATTGGCCATTATTGCCTGGTCCTCCTTCCTGGTCCATAGCATTGCGTGAGATGGTGATGGAGGGCAGCTCCAGGCTCTGTGGGGGGAACTGTGGCAGCAGGTGCCCCCGGTGCAGGTGCGTATGCTCGGACATGCCCGGGTATGGAGAGACCACTTCTGATAGACCCATGCCTGACTCGGTCTCAGGAGGTGGTGTGATGGGCGGGATCTCAAACTCCTCATCTCCCAAACTGGGTGTATGGAACGTCTGTGAAGAAGAGGAATGTGATAAAGGAAAATAAAAGAAATAAAAATAGTGCTTGGCCTTATCTAACACACCAGGGATTAAATCAGACAACTTTGTTTAAGAGCGGAGTGCTTCGGCCGAGGTAATACTCTTGTCTGTAAGTGCACTAAGATGTAACATTTCCTAAACCTATTAAAGTCCACTTTGAGGAACACAAGAGCGCAGTAGTGGACGTCAAAAGCATACACACACAAAAAAAAAGCAAGCGGCAATCATGGCCCACAGAGAGGATACATGATAAAAGCCCTTAATCTTAGGGACAGGGGATACTGGCTGTTGAAGTGTGCTGAAAATACAAGTCGTAGCGAGATGGGTTTAAGAGAACATTTTCAAAGATTATTACGCTTGGCCAGAAGTGCTTCTTTTTGTTCCTCTCACCCGTGCCCTCAAATCTGCTCATCAAACAGTGTAATCCTTGTGCCTTTTAAATTAAAGCTTTTGGTCACACTTAATTTGCTTATGTGGATTCTCTGAGATGAAATGTTCACCTACTTGGATCTTGTTTTCATCAGAACATTTCACTGTCAAGAGCTACTGTGTTAAAATATTCTCAAGGGTCACACAGCACTGTGGAAAAAAATGACTACAACTAGATATTGATGTTGCTTATTACAACTCCCACACCAACTTATTCTCTTCCTCCTCCCAATACTATAACCGGAACTCCACTACCAGTCAAAAGTTTAGACTCTCTCATTCAATGTTTATTTCCTTTATTTTTTCTATTTTCTACATTTTATACATACAGAAGACATCAAATATATGAAGCAATATGAAATTATGTGTGACTTGAACTTGAGTCAGACTTGAGACACTATTTTTAGGACTTTAGACTTGACTTGATAAAATGGACTAAGACTTGGGACTTGAAGGTCTATGATCTGGGACTTGACTCGGACTTGAGGCCTGTGACTTGAGAAGACTTGAGAAGCACTTTTAAATCTAAATTCTTTCTATTCTGACCGTAATGATTCACAGTAAGATCTTGTCTTTATATACTCTATAAATACTCGCATATAAATATACTATGCTTTTTTTAAGCACAATTTATCTTAAAAGTCATAAATAGCAAAAATCTAAACTATGTTTTTTATTCTTTAATTTAAAGACTTGAGATGACTTAAGCAGACGACTTGGACTTGACTTGGACTTATGGGCCAGTGTCTCAAGACTCGACTTGGACTTGCCTGTATTTGACTTGGGACTTGACTCGGACTTGAGGTCAAAGACTTGAGACTTACTTGAGACTTTCAAATCTAAGACGCGGTCCCACCTGTGGTAAATAACTACTACATATATTTTTATATTTTATATTCAAATCCTCAAGGTAGCCATCCTTAGTTTTAGAGTTATTTCACTTTTTTTCTTTATTACATAATTCCATATATCTTACTTTATATATCTGATGTCTTCTTTAAGTATATAAAATGTAAACTTTTTTATCTTTTATGAATGTTAAAAGTGCATTGTAGTTAAGTGTATCTTTATTTTCCATTCCTGCAACAGAAATCTCATATAAGCACAAGGGTATTTCAGGTGCTAGGACTGACCAGTGCTGTTAAGGTAATGATAAAAACCTCTTAAAAGTGTGCACGTGTTCATAACAAGAAAAGCATCTTAACTTAACGCGCTTCACCTACTGTTAAGTGCAATTATACAAAGTTCCATAAGAGCTCAAATCCAGTTAAAGTAACAGCAGCACCATTACCAATATTGAATGACATGACTTCCTGCATGGAAAACGTATAAAACATCCTCAGAGCTAACCAAGTCAATTTTTCCACAGATGTAAGATAGTTTTTGTGTTTTGTAGGTCCTGGGGCCTATTTTTGAGCTTTCTGAGTCACAACAGTCAGTAATGTTAATTGAGTTTTTATACTGTTTTCCTATTGGCTAGTTAAAATGTTACCAAATAATTTTACTTAATGATATAAAATGTGCTTTTTACAACAAAAGCTATATATAAAACCTTGAAAACCTAAACCCCCATAACAGGGACGGTTATGAAACTAAGCTAAGGGCAAAACTGTGAGAAACAGTGCCAGGATGACTGAGTCAGACCTGATAAAACTGATATAAAAACTACTGCAAAACTTGTTGCATGAAAATAGCTGCATCTGTCTTTGGGAATAAGGTAAGAAAACAAATCGTATTACATCAGAAAGACAATGATCTGAAACCGCAAAACATACTGCCAGTTTGCCTTTGCGTCTAACCTGGAACACTGCTGACTTTTCCTGGTTTAGCCCCGCCCGACTCTGTCTCCAGCGGGGTATGGAATAACAGACAAGAGGCTACATGGGGAATATGCCAGCGTAGCCCTTGATTAGACAGTATTAATGTCCCCTTCTCTTTAGCACACAGACACTCAAAACTAATTCATAGCTTGTTCGGGCCAGCTGTCTTGACAAGCACTGATGAATTCCAGTAGCATACGCAGCTAATAGAGTTTTCATTCTCTCTTTTCGTCTGTCTTCCTCCTCCCGACCCATGTTTCACTTTGCAAGGCTTGTTTCACAGTGAGGGAATGGCTGCTCTTTTTAGAAGGAGCCAAAGCAGTATTTATCACAGGCCTGGCCTCTGGCTTACACAGCGCTGTATAAATCACCTGAGGAAAAACCTTTTACTACCACTGCTCCCCTGTAATATCATGTCACAATAATGCCTCATCAGCAGCATGTAATTTAAATATAGACTCTTTAGGAAGTACATAAAACAAGTGCCACGAGCCAAGGCAAAGATTACTGTGAAGAATTAGTCCAGGTCATGATCTTGTTAGTATTTTTTTATACTTTCCCCAACGGTGAATAACACTGAATAAAGTCACACCTGTGTAGCGGCTTTTTAAAGGCTGATTCAGTGTCATTGTCACATGATGAGTAACAGTTCTGTGTGTCACAATTGCAAGGATAACAAAATGATGTGGTTAACCGATTACTGTGATTATACAAGTCGCAGAAAAATAATAACTGCGAAAATTGTCATTGCAATAATTTTCAAAGCAGAAATAAGTCATTTCAATTCTACTGAAATTTGAAAAAAAAACAAAAAAAACATATCAATCACTAAAGTTTTATGTCATAGCATCCCAAGTTATTCTGCATTCATGTAAAAGAAAATGGGCAAATCTAATCTGTTGGGTGTGTATCAGAAATTTTAACTTGAGAAATTGAACCATTCAACTCAGTCAAAAGAAGTATTAAATTCACTATTGTAAACCACTACTACTACGTGTGGCCTCAAGCTATACGTACAACTTCTGGTCAACATGTCCATTATGCCTGAGTTCTACTATGAACACGTGTGCTGAGGGAGTGCAGTACAGTACAGTAGCAGGACATGACTAAATAGGCCAGTGGCTCCTCTGGACTGCTGCAGTGTTATATAACTAAAGGTGAGATTTGAGATGAGTGTCAAGGAAGTAGAGAGGTTCAGGTGGTTTCTACTTCTCTACCAGAGAGTGACACTGACCTTTGAAGTAGAAGTGTAGACACGAGTGAAAGTGAACCAGAGAAAAATGACATGTCATGGGTAATAAAAAGAGCTGCTTGAACACTTAAAATTCTCCATAAAATAACAAACAATCTGTTAATATTACAAATGGGAGAAGAACAATTTCCATTAGATGAGACGAAATACAAGATTGGGACTTCATTTCTAATTCCAAATATATAAATTTCAATATTCAGGTTGCAATTTTGGCCTCACAGTCTTGTATTTATTAGATTTAATTTTTTGTTTCCATTCTTGTACAGCTTTTTGGAACTGTAAGAGATGTAACTTGCCAACATGTAACCTTTTTGTCCAATCCAAATGTAAACACTTGGAAAAAAGATCTCACTAGACAATTTTTATAATGTGTGCACAATCTTGGACCATTCCTATGCTATGGGGATTGACAGTGACAATAGATTTAAGATTGATTCTCGTCTGAAGGCTATGAGACATGACTTCAGATGATGAAAGTGAGCCGTTACACTGTTACACTATGTTTAATGGCATCCTGCATAACACAAGATAAATGTTGATATAGTAGAGTCTCTGGGGGCTTTGGCAGATTATGTTTCTCTTTTTAGCATTGGTAACCTCATAATAATCCGTTTAAATTATTCTAAATGCTCAGTGCAGCCAAGAGTGAGGACAGACACAGGCTAGTATAACGTAATGTACTCAGAAAGTCATGGGAAAAGACATTTTGCTCAGCTGGTCTCAGTTGTGTGTTGTAATTGTAATGCAAATTCTTTACATTAATCTATTAGTTGTTTAAATTGCAAAATATTCATGAATTTGAGAGATACTGCTTAAGGGCATCTTGATTGTATATTTACAGCCATAATATGTGTTTCTTCATGTATTTCTTGTGTCATGTAATTTGATTTGATTAGTTAAAAAGTTTATAGTTACTTTCCTTCTGCTTATTTACATCTTGTTTTTATTTTGATGCCCTTACGAACTGCAATAACAAAGGAAATATTGTCTTGAAGCATTTCGCTTTTCACAAATCCATCTGGCATGTCATGACACTATCTTTTTAATTCATTTGCTCAAGACAGAATGCACGTGATTCCCTGTTATAGAACTGCCCTTTTATCCAAAATGTTTCTTACCACTACAAGACATCTGAACTATCCATGCTCCAACAAAATTAGTTATACAGATGTCTCAGTCAGTAAATAGTAACTGATGAATGACTGTTCCTTAGAGACTAAAAATACTTTACAAACACTTTACAAATTTGCAGCTATAGTCTATTGTTTTGAAAAAAGGAAAAATCTTGTCCAATCAGTGTTACATTCAACTCTATTGAACCAAGAATAGCTACAATCAGACGTAGTGATGCAAGACGCTGTGAAACCAACTCGACAAAAATATAATATAGATTCTGACAAAATGGTTTTGCTTTTGCCCCCACTAGACTCCGATCCCTTTGGTAATTCCAACCACACCATACATGTACAGTA